GGTAGCCCCGTAGGCTACAAGTTGATGCCCGGCGAAAACATCCTGCCGTTCGCCCACTCCACTGCCAGCATCATCAAACGGGCGGGATTCATGACCAAACACTTGTGGGTCACTCCCTACGCACCGGAAGAATTGTCGGCTACGGGCTCTTATCCCAACCAGCACCCTGGCGGCGCCGGCCTGCCCGAGTACACCAGGAATGACCGCAGCGTTGAAGATACCGACCTGGTCTTGTGGTACACGCTGGGGTACCACCACGTACCGCGTCCCGAGGATTGGCCCATTTCGCCGGTGGCCTACTGCGGGTTCAGCCTGAAACCGGTGGGTTTCTTCGACACCAATCCGGTGCTTGACGTGCCACCCAGCGCCCACCACAACGGGGCGTGTCATGGGTGAAACGACTGTCCCACCAAAGTGATTTCCAGCGAGAGAAGGTTGAACCACCAACGGTGCACTTTATTTCTCGGCACTGCACTATTATTTAGCGGTCTGAAGCCCGAATTGACGCATTCTTTCCATAAATAATAAAATGCGATTAATTCAGTAGTATTAACCCCTTAGGAGAGGCCTGATGTTGGATAAAAACATAGAACTGATGGCCCATTTGCTGCGGCGGGCCGGATTCGGAGCAAACCGCGAAGAACTCGAGACCCGGGTCGCTAATGGATATGAAGCAACTGTCGAAGAGTTGCTGAACCCTAGAGCAGAACAGCGGCTCAGCGACTACCTGATTCGCCGTTTCCACCCGGAACTTTCAGGAATGATGGGCCCCCAGGCCCCAGGCGAAAACTGGCTGTATCGCATGGTCACTACCTCCGCGCCGTTGCAGGAAAAGATGACCCTGTTCTGGCACAGCATCTTTGCTACCGGATACAACAAGGTCATCCACGGCAAGGCTCTTTCCGACCAGACCCGGATGTTTCGCAAGCATGCCATGGGGAATTTCCGTACCCTGCTGCTCGAGTTGTCCCGCGACCCCGCCATGATCATATGGCTGGACAACCAGGACAATCATAAAGACGCTATCAACGAGAACTACGGCCGTGAACTGCTGGAGCTCTTCTCCATGGGCGTGGGCAACTACACGGAACAGGACATCAAGGAGTGCGCCCGGGCCTTCACCGGCTGGACCATCGCCAACCTGGAATACATGGAACTGCGTTCCCAGCGCGATTCGGACTGGCCCTACGGCCGCATATCCTGGCACTTCGAATTCCACCCCGAAGACCACGACGGCGGTGAGAAGGAGTTCCTGGGCGAGCAGGGCAACTTCAACGGCGACGACATCGTTGAAATCATCTGCAAGCAGCCGGCCACGGCCCGCTTCATTGCCCGCCACCTGTACAGCTTCTTTGTGGCCGACGAGCCGCCGGTTCCCGAGTGGCCCTACACCGCGCCGTCCGATGAGGAGGCCATTGAGATCCTGGTCCAAGCCTATTTTGACAGCGGTTACAACATCGGCTCCATGCTGCGGGCACTCTTTAACTCCGATTTCTTCAAGGAGGAAGAGGCACGCTACAGCAAGGTCAAGAGCCCGGTGGAACTGGTGGCCGGGGTTCTGCGGCTTACCGGCGAGTTCGACCGGCCCCGCTACGAGATCCTGGAGCGGTTCAGCCAGGCCTCTTACATGGGACAGATTCTGAACAATCCCCCCAGCGTTGAGGGCTGGCACACCGGCACGGACTGGCTGAACAGCGGAACCCTGGTAGAACGCATCAACTTCGCCAGCAAGCAGATTGGCGACGCCACCAAGCCGGGCATACGAAGCATGGTAGACCGCATCCGCGAGGAACTGAGCGAGTCCACCTCTCCCGAGCGATTGGTAGACGCCTGTCTTGAAGCTGTGGGAACTCTGGCGGTTGATGAGGACACGCGGCGAGTGCTGGTCGACTTTTCCGCCCGGGGCGCGGGAAACACCGACCGCCAGCACATAGCCGATGTCCTTCAGATGGTGGCCGCCACCCAGGAGTTTCAGCGGGCGTAGAGGCCTGTTTCCAAGAGGAGATTAACTTCTGTCCCATTACCAGTAGAATCAGATCAGGATGGTGTCATCCAGGGTGACTACGCAGAGCAAGAAACCCGCGCCGTATGAAATTCATGCAGAACAGGACCCGGTTGTGCCGGAACCTCTGGGCCCCATTGTGCTCAAACTGGACCCTGTTCTCAGGTTGACCGGTGAACTGCTTCTCGAGTTGTGTTCATTGAACGACGCTGTTCGCATTGAGCTTAACGCTAAACAAGAATTGGAACTCTTGCCACCGGCTAACCCCTCTTCCAGCAACCAAAACGCAAATATTTCCGTGGACTTGGGCAACTGGGCGAGGGCCAATGGCACGGGCCTGGGATCTGATTCTTACGCTGGTTTCACACCACCGAACGGCGCAGTGCGTTCTCCAGACGCATCATGGATACTGAAAGAGCGTTGTGCAGAAATCCCTGACAAAGAGAAGCACAAGTTTACGCCTATTGTGCCCGACTTCGTGGTTGAGCTTCGTTCCCCATCCGACAGTTTGCGAGGCATTCAAGCGAAGCTGGAAGAATACATTGCACATGGGGTAAGGCTTGGCTGGCTGATTGACCTGCTGGACCCGCGTCACCGAGTGTACGTTTACCGCCCCAATGCACCGGTCGAGGTGCGGGAAGGGCCGGAAACCCTATCCGGGGATCCCGAACTTCCTGGCTTTGTCCTGGACTTGCAGCCCGTTTGGGGTCCGGCGTTATAACCTTCATCCTCCCAAATTTTTAGGGTGAGGCTAAACAATGACCACGCAATCAACGGCTACCGGAACTGACTTCATAGTCTATGACCGCTCCCTGGGCATGACGGTAATGGAAGGCAAGGGCTTCTATTACCCGGTGGATACTGTTGCGGGTAAAAACGACCGTCTCTACGTTATCAGCCGCAGCAAGGAAGAAACCGCCCGGGGTATTCGGGTCACCATGTGCGACCTGGAAAGCGGATACTACGGCAACTTCGGCGGTTACGGCTTCGACGGCGGACAGTTTGTGTGGCCGGCCTGTGGCACGGTGGACAACCAGGGCCGGTTCTTTATCAGCGACGAGCGACTTCACCGCATTACCGCTTACGACCCGACCGGCAACTACCTGTTCCATTGGGGCGAGGCCGGTTCCGGGGAGGGCCAGTTGGATACCCCGTCGGGTTTGGCCTTCGACGGCGAGGACAACATCTACGTGGCCGATACCTACAACAACCGGGTCCAGAAGTTCACCGCCAACGGCGCCTTTATTCAGGCCATTAGCTACCAGGGACCAGGCGCGGTCAGCCTTCCCTGGGGCCTGACCACCGACACTCAGGACAACGTGTACGTGGCAGACTTTGGGAACAACTGCGTCAAGAAGTTCTCCAAGCAGGGCGAATTCCTGGCCAGTTTCGGCGAATCGGGCCGAGGCGACGGCCAGTTTACCCACCCCGCGTCGGTTGCCGTGGACAAAGATGGTTACATCTACGTAGCCGACTGGGGCAACGAGCGGGTACAGGTTCTGGATGCCGACGGCAATTTCGTCACCAAGTTGCGGGGGGAAGCCACCGTTTCGGAATGGGCTGCCAACTTCCTCAGCATCAACCAGGAAGAAGCAGCGGCCCGCGCCACTGCCAACCTCGAAATGGACATAGATTATGTGGTGGACGACCCCCACGAGGAGTCGTCCCACATTGAAAAATATTTCTGGTGCCCCTCTTCGGTCAGGCTGGATAGCAGGGGATACCTCTACGTAACCGAAACTAACCGGCACCGGATTCAGGTTTACCGCCGGGTTAAATAGACCGGTCCCCACCTCTTCCCTGTCCTGGGGACAGTGCGCGAATCTTAAGAACAAGGAGCAAGGCCATGGTATCAACTAAAAAGGACCGAACCCTCGTGGTAATCGAGTTGGTCGGAGGTAACGACGGGCTGAATACCTTGGTTCCCTACAGCAACGGCCTCTACTATGACAATCGGCCGGGCATCGGCATCGCCCAACAAGACGTGCTGCCCATAGATGCAGATTTGGGCTTCAACCCCAATATGCGCGAGGTAAAATCCCTTTGGGACCGGGGCGAAGTCGCCGTCATCAAGGGCATTGGCTACCCGAAACCCAACCGCTCCCACTTTCGGTCCCGGGACATCTGGTACACTGCCGAGCCCGAGACCATTGGCAGCCAGGGCTGGCTGGGCGCCGCAATTCGTGACTTGGACGCCAAAGGCGAAAACGTCCTTACGGGAGTGAACTTTGGCCGGGGGCTTCCTCGAGCCTTCGTTTGCAAAGGTGTTCCAGTGGCCTCGGTGGGCAACCTGGAGACCTACGGCCTGCTGCCCGACATTGACGACGAAAACGTGCGCCTCCATGCCCTGGATGCCCTGGGTCGGATGTATGGGCCTGAAGGTGGTCGGGACATGGTGGCACAGGCCCTGAGCGAGAACGGAGCGCAGGCCCTTATGGGTGCGGACATACTGCGCACCGCACCGGAACAATACGCCTCCAGCGTGGAGTATGCCGATACTCCCATCTCCAACAGCCTGAAGGGAGCGGCCCAAGTTATGAGCGCCGGCCTGGGAACCCGTGTCTTGTACGCCCAGCACGGCAGTTTCGATACCCACAGCAACGAACTTCAAACCCACGCCAAGCTGTGGCAGGACGTCTCCGGCGCCATAGGCGACTTTACCGACGACCTGAAGGAACAGGGGTTGTGGCAAGACACGCTGATCCTGGTCTGGTCGGAGTTTGGCCGGAGGGTCCGCGACAACGGCACCGGCTGCGACCACGGTTCCGGCGGCGTGGCCTTTGTCCTGGGCGGTTCGATTCAGGGCGGGCAGTACGGCGAATACCCCTCTCTCCTCGAAGCCGATCTGTCCGAGGGCGACTTGGCGTACACCAACGACTTCCGCTCCACTTACGCCACTGTCCTCAACCGCTGGCTAGGCCTGGACCCGGACCCCATAGTCCACGGCCAGTTCGAGCAGTTTGAGTTTGTGTCGCGGTAAAAGTCACTCAGCCAGAAGTGGTGAACTCTGACCGCCGGGCTACCGTCCATTAAGGTAGCCCGGCGGTCTTGCTTTTGGCGTGGCAACAGAAACATATCGCGCTTCCTGCCGCCCGCCGGCCCGAAGAGACAAGTGGGCTTCAGTCAACCCTGAATAAGCATCCCTTCCTGAGGCATGTGCCGCCGGCAGAACCGATGCTGCTGCGATCGGCGACTGCGGGGGCTTCCCATGCCGACCTTGACCAGGATGCGACGCACCGTGGGACGGCTCAGGTCTATGCCCCCCCGCTCCCGCAAAAGCTCGGTGAGGTGGATGTGGTTGGCGCCAGTGTAGTGGTTGCCAGCCAGTTTCACTACGGCAGCCACGGCAGCCACGGCGGCCGCGGCGGCTTCGGCAACGGCGTTGTGGGGCCTCAGTCCCCGGTTCCCGTGAGCCAGCGCCATGGGGTCATACCTGCGGTAGGCAGACAGAAGCCCCTTGGTATGCCGTTCACTGATTCCCATGTTCTCCGCCGCCTGGGCGATGGGTGGGCACGATGAAGCTGGCTCCGGAGGCTTCGGAACCGTACAATTCCAGGAAGTCAATGAACCACTCCTTGAAATAGAAAGTGCTTGTACGCTCATCCACAATCTCCATGCGCTCTGTCTTATCCTGGCATATGTCGGCATTGGCGCCGCTGTAGTTTTCCTAGGAAAACTTGACGTCCTCGGCGGTAACCGGTTCGCCGTTGTGGATAGTAATGCCTTCTTGAAGCCGGAAGGTGGCCTTCATGAAGTGGTCAGTCATCGCCAGGTCTTCGGTCAGCAGGTACACGAACCAGCCATTGGGCATGGCCCCGATGGCCGGGTCAAAAACTGCCTGGAGGAAGGCGGAATAGGGCGCGCGGGAGGCCTGGGCTACCTGGGGATACAGCCACCTGAGGGCGAGGGCCGTGAGGTAAGCAAGTACCGTCTTTCCATCGGACTGCCTGGAGCGGTCGGGGTCGATCAAAAGTAACCAAGCAAGGCGACATTGGGTAGGCGGGGCAGATGTTTGAACACCTGTCTCACAACATAGGTTGTAACTGTCGAAGTGAAGTGTTGTGCGAAAGCCCCGGACATGGAGGCTATTTCCCCGGGCAATACGTTGTTATACAGGAAAACCGTCCCACCGGAAAAACGACAAAGGAGTCAGAGGGGAAAGTAAGGCTACGATACTTGAGAAGAGGGTAGGAAGAGTCCCAGAGTGAGCAAGCAACCGTGCGGTGCAGTTTAAGTCCTCTGTACGCTAAAAGGGCCGATTAAGGGAATCGGCCTTTTTAGCGTGATCGTTAATCAATTCTACCCAGTGGCGGTTACGCCGGATTTAATGGCCGGAGGTTTCGAGCCATTCCTGAGTATGGACGAAACCTGGTGCATGTGGCTGAGAATTTCCCGGTAGGATCTCAGGGTGCCGGTCTCGTAATAGGGAATTGCCCCGCTGTTGGCAGAATTCCATTACTATGGGCCGCGCCTTTCCCAACTTATTCCTGGGCATCATAGTGAACAGGTGGTGCTCAATCTGGTAGTTCAGCCCACCGAACAAGAAATCGACCAGAAAGTTGGGCTTGACATTCCGGGTGGTGAGCACCTGCGTACGTACGAAATCCAGGGGATTGTCCTTGTCAAGGATTAGCATCCCCTTATGATTCGGAGCGAATACCAACCCGTAGTACAGGCCGAACAGGCCCTGATGGACCAAGGCGAAGACCACCGCCTGCCAGGGAGAGAGCGCATAGAGAAGCAGAGCGAAGTATAGCGCAAGGTGCACAGCCATCAACACCAATTCCGGCAGGTAGGTTTTGGCGCTGCGGGTGCCAATCAGGTACTGGGCACTGGAAAACCGAAGGCTCAGGCACTCGAACGTCAGAATCGGCACGAAGTAAAACGCCTGATAGGCCGCCATAAACTTCAGGACACCCCTCATGCGGATGGCTTTCTCCTCCGAGAAGGCCAGTACTGGAATAAGGGTGTGAGGGTCATCGTCAAGGTCATTTGGAGTGCGGTGGTGCTGGTTGTGCTGCCTAAGCCACCAGGACTGGCTCATGCTTAGCAGAAAACTTACGCCATAGCCGATTAGCCGGGTTTCCCCGGACCGAACGGCAGACTCCCAAGTGTCCGGCGTCATGGCCGATGTAACCAATTTGCCCGAACACAAAGGCCAGGAACACAGCGTTCGCTATTTGGAACCAGAAATTTTCCACTACTAACAAAATGGTGATGCTCAGGATGAGCATGGCCAGCGTGGACACCATCTTGAAGATGTAGTAACGGAGCTGCCTGTCCAAGAGCCCTTGCTCCTGAATTCGGCGGGGTAGTTCAGCGAAGTCGGCTACCGGGTCTGAAGGCGTCAATGCTTGGGTTGTGAGGGGGGCGGGGACGACGTTGGTGATATCCGGCATATGTCTGGAAAACTCCTAGTGCAGGCGGGACCGCAGGATAAATTTCGGGGTTGCCCCGGGATGCTTCTGTAATGTGCCAGAGGGAGGGTAATCGGTTATCACCCAGCATGCCCCGGGCTCTGACGGTGACAATACCCGGGGTTGGTTCTGACCATCACCTATTTTACCGGTTTCGGAAGAGTTTTGGAAGTTTGGCGATTCTCTCCTATCTGGAGCCGCGACAACGTCATATCCTTGATCAGTCGAAGCGTCTCATTCCACCCTAAGACGAGCTGGACGGCAGCGCTCTGCGCAAAGTACATGCCAAGGTCGCCTTGAAGGGTCGCGTCGATGTGGCCGGTACAAGGGGTCCAGCTTGGGGAGGCAGGGAGGTGCCTACCGACGGAAGCCGGGAAGTTCGCCCGGCGCTGGCTTGAACCGGGTTAGAGTGTGGGTATTGAGACAATGGCGAAATAAAAATGGCGCCCCTTGCTGGGACGCCACAACCATAGTGTCTTAATGGAGAGTTGGTGGAGACGGGGGAGAGTCGAACTCCCCGTCCAAAAGGCCCCTAAGCTAGATATGCTACAAGCTTGTCCGACGCTTTGAGTCTCGTCCTCTGGAACTTCCGCCGACAAAATTTCCGGAGGGCCAGCCGATAAGTCTTAGGCTACCTCTATCGGCGTCTCGGTAACCGCATCCCGGCCTAATGGCGCCCGCTTCTCCGCATCCGGGAGTAACAGAGAGCGGACGCTAGCCGCTACTAGGCGGCTAGAGCGAATTCACGTTCGCCAGTTAAGCGTTTGCCACCTGATTACCGAGGGCGATGGCACCTCGGCTTGCGATCTGCCACAGGACGCTCCTGTCGAACCCGCGCGTCCCCAATCACACTTGTAGTATAGCACAGAGCCTATGGTGGTTAAACGGGAAGAGCCCTGCTGCCAACGCTCATTTCCCTTCCAACGCAGCCTGGCAATTTCCATAAAGTGCGTTGCAATGCCGTTAACCAGACATTTACCTTGCGGGCTATACCACCTATACCCCGGCGTGTATAATGCGTGTTTCCATACCCTTTATATTGTGATATATTTAACAAATCGCCGGGCTATGGCCCGGTAATTCAGTTAGTGGTACTTTGAGACGGCTTGCTTCCTCGAAGTTTGAGGCTTCAAACCCTTAGCTGACACCCATTAGCTCTTGAGCGGGGGTTTTGTCTATGAACCCGTTAAGAGAACTAGCCGAACACGGGCTATATTCTCCCCACTTTGAACATGACAGTTGTGGAGTGGGCGTCGTCGCCAACATCAAGGGCGGCCAGTCCCACCAGATAATCACGGAATCCTTGCAGGTTCTGGTCAACCTGGGACACCGGGGCGCCTGCGGTTGCGACCCGGAGACCGGCGATGGCGCAGGCATTCTGATGCAGATGCCGCACACCTTCTTTCAAGAGATCTGCCCAAGCCTGGGCATCGACCTGCCCGATCTGGGTGCCTACGGGGTCGGCATGGTGTTTTTGCCACCGGACCCTGAAGCCCAGGTCAAGTGCGAGGACCTGATAAACCGGTCCATCGCAGCTGAAGGTCTCAATCTGCTGGGATGGCGTGAGGTGCCCGTAGATCCGGACAATCTGGGCCGTGACGCCCGCGCTGTCCAGCCTGCCATACGCCAGGTATTTGTCAGCGGAGGCGCCGAGACCACCGATCCTGATCATCTCCAGCGCAAGCTGTACACCCTGCGCAAGGTCATAGAAAGGTCATTGCCCGACTGTGGCCTCAGCGACGATGACGCCGACTACTTTTATATTTGCAGCCTTTCCAACAGCACCATGGTTTATAAGGGGCTGCTTATGGCCCACCAGGTGGCCGACTTCTACCTGGACCTGAAAGACGAATCGCTGGTCAGCGCCTTTGCGCTGGTCCATTCCCGCTTCAGCACCAACACGCTGGGCCACTGGAAGCTGGCGCACCCCTACCGGTACCTGGCCCACAACGGGGAGATTAACACCCTCCGCGGCAACTCGAACTGGATGTACGCCCGCGAGTCCCAGTTCGAGTCCCCGATGTTTGGGGCCGATATGGAGAAGATTACCCCGATAATGACCCCCCGGGCCAGCGATACAGCCGGTTTCGACAACGCCCTGGAATTGCTTCTGATAACCGGCCGGAGCCTCGACCACTCGATGCTGATGATGATTCCCGAGGCTTGGGAACAGCACGAGTCGATGCCGCAGGAGAAAAAGGACTTTTACGAATATCACTCATGCCTGATGGAGCCATGGGACGGCCCGGCAATGATTGTGGCCGCCAACGGCAAAGACATCTGCGCCGTCCTGGACCGCAACGGTCTGCGCCCCTTCCGTTACACCGTGACCAAGGACGATAAGCTGGTCATGGCTTCCGAGACCGGTGTGCTGGATATCCCTGGCGAGAATATCCGGCAGCGGGGCCGCCTCCAGCCCGGCCGCATGTTCCTGGTAAGCCTGGATGAAGGACGAATCATCGGGGACGAAGAGCTGAAGCACGACTTGTCCCGCCGTCATCCCTATGGTGAATGGCTGGCCGAGAACAAGGTTTCGCTGGAAGATCTGGCAGAGGCTGAACCGGCCTCCCCGTTGCAGGGTAGTGAACTGGTCCAGCAGCAACGGGCTTTCGGCTACACCCTTGAAGAACTCCGCATGTTGACCATTCCAATGGCCTCCACCGCCTACGAGGCGGTGGGTTCCATGGGTAACGATGCACCGCTGGCGGTACTATCAGAGAAGAGTCAGCCTCTTTTCAACTATTTCAAACAGTTGTTCGCCCAGGTAACAAACCCGCCTCTGGATGCCATCAGGGAGGAGCTTGTAACTTCCCAGGAGTCCTTCATCGGTCGCGAGCGGAACCTTTTTGAAGAGACCCCCTCCGCTCCATTGCCACCAACTGAAGCTCAAGACGCCCATTATCACCGACGAAGAACTGGCCAAGATTCGCGACGTCAATGTTGGCGATGTCCGGGCCACTACTCTTTCCACCTTGTTCAACGCTCAGGGAGAAGGTTCCCTGAAGGAAGCCTTGGACCGGCTTTGCAACAAGGCTTCACAGGCTATTAGCGACGGTTACAGCATAATCGTTCTGTCGGACCGGGGAGTTAATGAGAAAAGCGCGCCCATCCCCAGTTTGCTGGCCACTTCCGCTGTTCATCACCATCTGATTCGCGAAGGCACCCGCACCAGGGTGGGATTGGTTGTCGAGTCTGGTGAACCCCGTGAGGTACACCATTTCTGCCTGCTTTTGGGTTATGGCGCCGGCGCCATCAACCCCTACCTTGCCCTGGCCACGACCCGGGATCTGGCCGAGCGGGGCGAATTAAACGGCACCAAGCCCGACTACGCTGTCAAGAACTACATAAAGGCCAACGAGAAGGGCCTGCTCAAGGTAATGTCCAAGATGGGCATTTCCACGGTGCAGAGCTACCGAGGCGCCCAGATATTTGAGGCGGTGGGCCTGAACCAGGATTTCATCGATCGGTATTTCACCTGGACCCCTTCCCGTGTCGAGGGAATTGGCTTAGGGGTGGTTGAAGAGGAACAGCTGAACCGCCACCGGTTTGCATTCCCTGAACAGGAGATTGACGCAACGCTTGATCTGGATCCGGGTGGGACGTACCAATGGCGGCGCCACGGCGAGGTTCACCAGTGGAATCCGGACACCATCGCCAAGCTGCAGTACGCCACTAAGGCCAATAGCTGGGATTCTTACCAGGAGTTTAGCCGGGCCGTTAACGACCAGAGCACACAGTTGGCCACCCTGCGCGGCCTGCTGGAGTTTAAGTCGGATCGGGAATCGGTGCCCTTGGACGAGGTGGAGCCTGCCAGGGACATAGTCAAGAGGTTCGCCACCGGGGCGGCTTCCTTCGGATCCATCAGCAAAGAAGCACACGAAACCATGGCTATCGCCATGAACCGTATCGGCGCTCGCAGCAATACTGGCGAGGGCGGTGAGGACTATCATCGCTACATGCCGGACGAAAACGGGGATTCACGCAATAGCGCCATCAAGCAGGTGGCCTCGGGGACGTTTTGGCGTCACTCCTAATTATCTGGTCAACGCCACGGATCTGCAGATAAAGATGGCTCAGGGCTCCAAGCCGGGCGAAGGTGGACAGCTGCCCGGCCACAAAGTGGACGAGGTAATCGGCTGGGTACGGAACACTATGCCAGGGGTCGAGTTGATCTCGCCGCCACCACATCACGACATTTATTCCATCGAGGACCTGGCGCAACTAATCCACGATTTGAAGAACATCAACCCAGAGTCTCGCATCCACGTAAAGCTGGTAGCTGAGGTCGGCGTAGGTACTATCGCCGCCGGTGTGTCAAAGGGCCACGGCGATGTAGTATTGATCAGCGGCCACGACGGTGGGACTGGGGCGTCCCCCGAGTCTTCCATCAAGCACGCGGGGCTTCCCTGGGAGCTTGGACTGGCCGAAACCCAACAGGTGCTGGTGGCTAACGACTTGCGCAGCCGCATAGTAGTGCAGACCGACGGCCAGCTTAAAACCGGCCGCGACGCCGCCATAGCCTTCCTGCTCGGCGCAGATGAGATCGGTTTTGCCACCGCACCCCTGATTGTCAGCGGCTGTATCATGCTGCGCAAGTGCCACCTGAATACCTGCTCGGTAGGCATTGCTACCCAGGATCCTGAGTTGCGCAAGCGGTTCGCCGGAAAGCCCGAGTACGTTATCAATTACTTCTTTTTCGTAGCCGAAGAGTTGCGGGAAATTATGGCCCAGCTAGGTTTCCGTACTGTCGAGGATATGATAGGGCGCGTGGAAATCCTGGAAGCCAATACCGACGTTCAACAGTGGAAAGCCAGGGGCCTTGACTTCGATAAGCTGCTTTACCGGCACCCAAAGTGTGACGAAGTAACGATTTATCAATGCGACGTGCAGGACCACGGACTGGAACTCGCCCTGGACCACCAATTGATTAAGCAGGCCACTCCGGCAATTGACCTAGGGGAGGCAGTTACAATCGACCTGCCCATCCGAAACTCGAATCGCACCGTCGGGGCCATGCTTAGCGGACGGATTGCCAAGAAGTACGGCGAGGACGGCCTCCCTTCAGGAACCGTCAAGATTAACCTGACCGGTTCGGCAGGGCAGAGCTTTGGCGCGTTTCTGGCCAAGGGCGTAGACATCCGGCTGGCCGGCGATACCAACGACTATATGGGGAAGGGCATGAACGGCGGCAAGATTGTCGTCGTACCCCCGCCGGGCTCAGACTTTGTGCCCGAAGATAACATCATCATCGGAAACGTCGCGCTCTACGGCGCCACCGGCGGACAGGCCTTTATACGCGGCATGGGTGGCGAGCGGTTCTGTGTCCGCAACAGCGGAGTGCAGGCAGTAATTGAGGGCATCGGCGACCACGGCTGCGAGTATATGACCGGTGGCGTAGCCGTGATCCTTGGTCCCACCGGCCGCAACTTTGCCGCGGGCATGAGCGGCGGCGTAGCCTTCGTATACGACGCAAGCGGCGATTTCGCCAACCACTTCAACGACGGTATGGCCGACCTCGAAGATGTTGCAGAGTCTGAGGACATCGTCCTGCTCCGCCATTTAATTGAAGCCCACCTTGAAAACACCGGCAGCACTCCGGCAAGCCAGGTCCTGTCTGACTGGGACCGGTCACTGACCAAGTTCAAGAAGGTCATGCCTCGGGACTATCGCCGGGTACTTGAAGAACGTAAGAAAGCCGCAGAACTGGAAGTAGCTATTAATGGGTAAACCTACCGGATTCATGGATTCCGGGCGCCAGCCACCCGAACGGCGCCCTGTTGCCGAACGAAGAGGGGACTATCAGGAACTTTACCTGGACTGGCCGGAGTCGGCGGCCCGGGAGCAGGGTTCCCGTTGCATGGATTGCGCCGTTCCCTTCTGCCACATGGGTTGCCCGCTGGGCAATGTGATACCGGAATTCAACCACCACGTCTACCAGGGGGAGTGGAAAAGGGCCCTGCACGTTCTCCTTAGCACCAATAATTTTCCGGAGTTTACCGGGCGGATTTGCCCCGCTCCATGCGAAGCTTCCTGTGTGCTGAGCATTAACACCGACCCGGTTACCATCGAGTACATCGAAAAAGAAATCTCGGACCGGGGCTACAAAGAAGGTTGGATAACCCCGCAGCCGCCGGAGCACCGCACCGGCAAGAGGGTTGCGGTGGTTGGTTCGGGGCCGGCCGGTCTGGCCGCCGCCCAACAGATCAACAGAGCCGGACACTGGGTCACGGTTCTTGAACGGGCCGATTATATTGGCGGTCTGCTGATGCTGGGCATCCCCGACTTCAAACTCGACAAGCACGTGGTCAACCGCCGCGTACAATTGATGGCCGACGAAGGAATCGAGTTTCGGACTGGCGTTAACGTCGGGGTCGACTATCCGGTCAAGGACTTGCTGGAAGAGTACGACGCCGTTTGCCTGACCGGCGGCTCCACCCATGCCCGGGACCTGCCGGTGCCAGGACGGGAGCTGGATGGTATACATCTGGCAATGGATTATCTGCCCCAGCAGAACAAGCTGCTGGCCGGCGAAGAAATAGATCCAACCTCACACATTTCCGCAGAAGGCAAGCGCGTAGTCATTCTGGGCGGTGGCGACACTGGCGCTGACTGCCTGGGCACAGCCCACCGACAGGGTGCGGAGGTCGTTTACCAGTTCGAGTTGCTCCCTGAACCGCCAGATGAGCGGCCTGCCAACAATCCTTGGCCCCAGTGGCCCATGATCCTCCGCTCGTCAGCGGCCCATGAAGAGGGTGGAATTCGCGACTACAACGTCCTCACCAAGTCGTTCTCCGGCGGCGACGGACAGGTGAAAAAGCTCCATGCCGTCCGCGTTGAGTGGACCGCAGGCGAGGATGGCCGCTTTAACATGAACGAAGTGCCCGGCAGCGAGATGGAAGTTGAAACTGACCTGGTCTTGCTGGCGATGGGTTTCCTGCACCCGGAGCATGAGGGTATGCTGACCGACCTGGGTGTGGAACTTGACCCAAGGGGCAACGTCAAAGTAGACGAGAATAAGATGACCAACATTCCCGGCGTATTCGCTGGCGGCGACATGGCTCGGGGCCAATCCCTGGTAGTCTGGGCCATCGCCGAAGGCCGCGAAGTAGCCCGGGGCGTTGACCAGTATCTGGTGGGTAGCAGCAAGTTGCCGAAGTCTATGCCGACCAGTTAGATACACTCCTATGGTTTGCGACAAGTAAGAAGGGGCGCCGGATTCGGCGCCCCTGATCATTTTGATACTTAGAGCTTTCGATTCTGCCTTACCACTCTCGGGCTAAGCCCCTGCCGCCGCCTCGACCAGGTCCGAGTAGCGGGACAAATATTCTTGAACGTCGAGCACCTGGATGGTGTTAGTGGTGCCAGAGACGCCGGTGAGGCTTCCGTGGACTATTGTCACAACGTCTGACTCGTTGACTAGGCCGGTGGACATGGCGCGGCCGATCAACATCGCTACCAGCCTGGAAATGTCCTGCTCCGGCGGAATTACACCGCTGGGCTGGAGTCCCCAACCAAGGCACAATCTTCTCAAAGTCTCTTCATCATGGGCGAAAACGATTATGTCGCCCTCAGGCCGATAGCGAGACACCTCGTAAGCGGCCCGACCGGTGCTGGTTACAACGATGGGCTTGGAATGCAACTCCCTGGCCAAACTGCTAGCCCCGGCGGCGATGGCCTGAGTGCGATCCCGCGACCGGAAATCCTTATAGTAGGGGTAAATTTTCTCAGCCTCGCGGATAGCAGTATCAGCCACCTGAACCGCTTCGACAGGGTAGGCTCCCACGGCAATTTCGTCGGACAGCAAGATCAAATCGCAGCCGTCCAGCACCGCATTGCAGATGTCGGAGACTTCGGCGCGAGTCGGGGTAGGCGACACTACCATTGACCGCAGCATCTGGGTGGCGATGCAGGAAGACTTGGCCGCTTCGTTGGCCTTGCGGACAATCTCCTTCTGCACCAGGGGCACCCGTTCCATAGGGATTTCCACACCGAGGTCGCCGCGGGCCACCATCACTCCATCTACTTCCTGCAGGATTTCGTCCAGGTTGTCGATCCCTTCACTTCGCTCGAGCTTGGCCATAACCGGCGCCTGGCTGCCAATACTCTGCAGGAAAGCCTTGGCTTCCCGGACGTCGTGGCCGGTACGCACGAAGGAGACGGCAACCCAGTCCACCTTCTGCTCCACGCCAAACCGGAGGGCTGCCTTGTCATCATCGGTCAATACCGGCATGTCTATGGAAACGCCGGGGAGATTGACCCCTTTGTAAGACGAAATAGTGCCCCCGTTCCGTACCCGTGTCCTGACCTGGAGGCCATTGGTTTCCAGCACTTCCAGGCATACGATACCATCGGAAATGAAGACCAGGTTGTTTTCGCGCAGGTTCCGCAGCACTCCCGGTTCGGGGAAGGGGATAATAGAGGGGTCGTCGGAGGCCTCATCCGCCGTCAGCAGATATTCGTCGCCGTGGTTGAGGTTGAGAACGTGGTCCATGTTGCCCAGGCGCAGCTTTACGCCACCCAGGTCCTGAAGAATGGCGACCTGCCTGCCATGCTTTTCAGACAACCGCCGCACGTCGCGGATCACTTCTTCGTGTTCCGGAAAAGTGCCGTGGGAGAAATTGAGCCTGGCACAGTCCATGCCGGCCAGGATCAACTTTTCCAGCGTTTCCGGGTCCCGGGAAACCGGGCCTATGGTTGCGATGATTTTTGTCTTTCTCATAGTGGTTTCCCTCAAAACCCCGGCGTCTATTATTCGCGGTTGGCGTAGTAGGAGTCGGTGGCGCGCTGCAAGCCGGCTACCCGGTTTGCCTGCAGGGCATCCTTGCGCTGAGCGGCCCACTGGTTGGAGGTCTGGATACCCACCAGGCTGCCCTGGAAGTGGGGCATCACGTAGCGGGCCAGCAGTTCGTAGCTGCGCATGATCTTCTCACGGGGTGCCCAGTCTTCCACCCGTATCATGAAGCTGCCAAAGCCGCCGCTGATTTCCTGCAGCCGCTCAATCCCAGCGATGCAGTCGTCCGGTGTCCCGACGATCCACTGGTTGTGTTCCACCATGAAGTCAACAATCTCGTCCTGGGGGACGTTCGGCACCTCGTTGCCAAGGGTGTTGCCAAAGTATTCGGTCACCAATCGACCACTGCCCACCCGGATGTCTTTGAAGGCTTCCTTCTTGCTTTCGGCCAGGTGCAGGCCCACGACCAGACCCCAGTCTTCACGGTGGACCTCCTTGCCGTGTTCCGCCGCCGAATCTTCGGCAATGGACCACAGTTCCTTGAGGCTGGTGGACCGGACGGTATCACGGGGGATGCTCATGGAGAGGACAGCCGCGCCGTGCTTACCGGCCAAGGTAACACCCGCCGGCGACTGCACCGACGCGACGGCGACGGGCAGATGGGGCTGCTGGTAGGGGCGCAGTTGCAGGACTGCTTCATTCAACTCGAACCAGTCGCTCTTGTACGTCAGAGGCTCGGATCGCGTTGACGGCGTTCAGATGTATGCCCAGGGGCACATTCGTCCATCATCTCCCGCTGGCGAGAGGCGTCAATGCCCAGCATGAGGGCGTCGGAAGCGAGGGCGCCCGGGCCAACACCCAGGATAACGCGACCGCGGGTCAGGTGGTCCAGCAGAACCATGCTGACTATGGCAACCATCAGGCGGCGATAAGATAGAGACATGGTACACGAGCTAGATACACTAAACAACGGTGCCCAGCCGGATATTGCGGGTCCGCTCGGCGGCAGTGGCGATGAAGACCTCGGGAGAGGCGATGGTCTCCCATCCGGCTGAATGGTGTTCGCCAATGTATGCCTCGTCAAAGCCCAAAGTATCCAGCCACTGCAGGAGTTCCAGGTCCCGTTCCAGGGCCAGGGTAGGATTCTCCCCGACACGATGGAAAGGGTCCAGAACCCAAACTAATTAGTTGCGAGTGCCCGTTAGTTGCGCCTCCCATGCTGTATCCTCCCACCACTTTGTACTGCGCCACAAAACTGACGGACATTTTTTTCAGTCTGCTTTCGGCCATTCTAACACGGCACGCCCGGCCTATGGTATAGCGGCAGGTCTTCGGCTCCGGTCACTGGCAATTGAAGCGCAAGGCCTTGCCAGGGCGAGACTGGGCGGCGGCAAAAAAAAGAACAGAGTGGCAAAAAAAACATCCACTTTCCCTGCCATTCCCGTTCATTTCCGCCCACTGATCCTCTGCCTCCAGATAGCCGAAACAGGAGTGGCGGCAGAAAACATGATTTCCCCCGTCGAGAGGGAGCGGACTTGTTCATAAGAGTCGGCCGAAAAGCATTGGCCGGATTTCGCGCTAGCCCCCAGACGTATCCAGTCTTATAAGGCACAGTAATGATATAATCGGTCAGAACCCACTTTACATCGACAATCGACGTTAAGAAAACGACAGACTTGCGGAGAATTGGGGTTCCAACCACCAACCCCACCAGTTGAAGTTTGCTGTGCGGGGTAGCGGCAAATTGGCAAAAGTGGTATCTTGAATGGTAATAACCGATACAGGAAATGGGAGGAGAATTATGCCCCAGTTACCACATAATGCAACGCCACCAACAATGGCCAACGAAAAGACAGACAATTTTACTCCAGAAGTGTTCGGCCCCTCCGCCCAGTAGCAAAGCTGGAACAAGAGGAAACACACAAAACAAAATGGATATATGCTCAGCGACGGCAACGTCAACATGGCCATCCTGGATTTCCAGAACGACGACGTAGCCGGTGAGCGGGGCAAGGATTGGGAAGGTATCCATCACATCGGATTCGAGGTCGAGAGCCTGGAAGAGATTGAAGCCAGGCTGGTCAATGC